CAGTGTATGAGATGTGTTCTCTTCGCTGGAAGGCGGAGATATTTGTCAGCCTGGATATGAGGCTTGTTGCTGCTGTTCTCAGGCAGTCCTGATGGGGAGGGATGTAGTTGGGTGGGCGGGTGGGTTTTTGTGGGTACACTGAATATAGTGTCTGTGGGATGAAGGGCTCTTTATGTTCACAGGTAGTGCAAAAGTTTATAGTTTTCATATATATAGATAGTTTTAATTTGAAACTTGTTCAGATGTAAAACTGCAAATTCCAAAACTAATTTCATGTCGAAATATTTTATTGCAATATCATTTTTTGTCCTTTCAAGCTTTTTTTTATTTTTATTTTTTAGTTTTTTTATTTGACAACAGTCACAATACAGTCATTATATATGGTACCCAGAGTATTCATGCCTCCAAATACAAATAACAGGTTCATTGCCTCAGGGGGTGCTGGTCCGTTGGCTTGCTCCTCCTCTGGTTTACCATCATCACACACCGTCCAGGGAAATATACACATGGAGTGGTCAAGACGTTTAGGTGGCAGAGCTCCTTTGAATTTCATTAGGAGCCATCTACATTTGTCTGTAAGCAGAAAATATACAAACAATCATACTTAATGTGTGTAAAGAACTAAAATAATATATTTATATAGGGCAAAAAAAAATTATGAATGGCTTAAAGACAGCGTACCAGTGTTAAATCTGTACATGGAGTTGCTTGCTCCATTTGCTGTCATCCCTCCAAAGATGTAAATGTTCTTGCCCAGCACAACAGCTGAGTGGGCCGCTACTCCTGGTGGAATATCTCCTTTGGCCTGCACTTTCTCCCACTTCATGTTCCCTTTAAAGATAATTTAACAGATATTTTTATATCATCCCAGTGCAATGCAGTGATACTCTGAACATGTATGCTGCATGTGTGTTGAAATACAAAGCGCTTCCTTTGTGAATCACAAATCTGGACAGTCTTACTTGAATCAAGAGAATACATATCATTGTGGAATTTGTCTCCAGCCATGCCCCCATGAATGTAGATCTTTGAATCCACCGCTACAATGATGTGACCTTGTCTGGCTGGAGGGTGCCTGCCTTGTGTTTCAGGTTGGGACCAAGTAGAAGAAACTGCAACAGATTTACACAGAAGAGATGGATGGAAAAAATATTATTTTTATATAAGCATATAAGCTTTTCATAGCAATTGTCAATAGTGAAACATGAAAGAAACAGGAGAATATGGATTTTCATTTTGAAAATCTCAATCACAGACAGGAAATGCCTCAAACAATGACATATCATATTTCCTCAGCACTTGATCTTTTTGTATCTACCAGTGAATGAATAATGAGTGTATACATTCTCTTAATTGTTTGTGGGCATCATATATCAGTTATGTCTGTTATGTGTGTTTTTTTTCTGTTTTTATAATCAGCATTGGGAAGGTTACTTCTAAAATGTATCCCACTACAGATGACAGAATACATGTCCCAAAATGTATTTTGTAACATATTCCATTACGTTACTCAATGAGAGTAAGATATTTTTGAATACTTTGGATTACTTAATATATTATCATGGTTTTTACAACTACATGAATGTACTCTTGCTGTGTGATTTATTACTGAAGGCTACTCGCCATACCAATACCAACTACATTTTAGAATCTTAATATAAAATGAGTAACAGTAGGGTGGACATTAGGTAAGGCTGCAGTTTTTGCAGCGATTTCGTATAGAAAACTATTTCATGCGTATATAAAACAGGTCCCTGGCTCTGAACCATAGTAAAGGGAACTCTGGCTAATACGTCGGGTTCTGTGTCGTGCTCGTAGCCTGAAAACTAGCTATACTATATATACTATACTATATTTACATGCTTCCATCTCCAGTTTCTGCTCAGGGACAACTCGTACTTTTCCACTCACTTTTTTCTCCCTCCCTCGCTCACAGACACATAACGGGTATAGCAGTCCATTCTCCCTGCAGCACGGACTACACTGCCCATGAGGCTACATTCTTTAAGGCGATGCCTGTAACACTGCCTATTGCCTTCATATTAAATAATTTCTTGACCAATTTTTAAAAATATTTCTTCGCGTCATTATGCGGGCCGCAAGTAGGGGTTACATAGTCCGCGAGATTGACACACAGGCATTAGAGCCTCTTAATGCGTGTTTTGTTTGGGTTTCCACTGGTGTGGAATTACCAAAAATAGAGAGGGCATAGCCTGACATATGAAACAGGAAAAGGCCACCGTGTAATCCATTTGTTTCAACAAAGTAACTGTATTCTGAATACCACCTTTTTAAACGGTAACTGTAATGGAATACAATTACTCATGTTTTGTATTTTAAATACGTAACGCCGGTACATGTATTCTGTTACTCCCCAACACTGTTTATAATATACATATAGAGGTTTTGTCATGTGAGCATCTAAGACACCAAAAGTGATGAAAACCAAAGAATTATTATTACAAATTACAAAGACATTTTTAAAACAATTCACTACCAGGTTTTCCATAATTTTCTCACATGATTCAGTAAAAATGAAATTTGACCTAAAAGCCATTCTAAGCTGTGGAATAGAAATGCTATTTGACCATATGGAGTCAAGGCTAAGTTTCAGCTAATTAAAAAGGTCTACAGCCAAAATGCTCCCAAAATAAATAAAGAAACAAAATTTACTATTTACTACTAAAACTTCAGTCACTGAATCTAAAAAACTGATGCTTAAAATTGTTGGTTGGCTCTAGTGTTAATGAACCTCTACTGCATCAAAAGGTCTTAACTGAAAATAACTAAAATACATTTTGACCCCTGGAATTATTTTCAGACGGCCACCGTTCTTAATCCGTTCTGGTGAAACTGCGCTCGCATGAATGAGAAATGTAACATATAATTCAACTATGAAAGTTCAAATTTAATGACATTATCTCTATTTGATCTCGTGACTTTTACTCTGATTTCACATCTGATCTTCCTAGAGTAGCAAATACTTTGTAATGCTGTAAATTAAACGTACATATTTTTGAAGCATATGATAAAAAAAATCCCACTTTATTTTTTAATTGTCTTTTACACTATCAATTATTTTACACATTATTTTAAACTGCTGTCAGTGAAATGAATACAACCTTTGCATTTCATTTATTGGTGCCCTACCCTGTTAAATAATTTAACAGGTTTGGTTGTGGAGACATCCACAGATAGATATGTAGCCCAGTGAATTGATATGTTTTCTAATATCCTCTCTTTATAAATTTTTTCCTTATTTTTAAAACATTATTATATAAAGCAACCATTGATGATTGAGAAAGCATAAGATTACTATTTATGATGAAAATTCAATTCAGCAATTTACATAGATATCCAATACAAATAGATCAATAAATATCTTAGATACGGCACCCAATCAGCTATTTCAGTTTTCAAATCAAAACCCGTAAGAAATATCAAAATTTCATCTCTGAAACAGATTTCTTCTAAAATACTGTCAGGTGGTGTTATTGTAATGCACTGCGATAAGCAGCAGGTTTATCTGACACAAACCTGTATCAAAGACATGAAGTTTGGAGTCAGAGACAGGTGTAGATCCTATTTCCCCACCGGAAAACACAAAAAGCCTGTCTCCAAGGCAGGCTGAGGTGGTGTGGTATGTCCTGGGACTCGCGGGTGTCCCATTTGTTTCTACAGTATTCCAGCGAGGGTTACTGTCTAGACACACACAGAATGGAAAAGATTTGTGGGGATTCAATATATCGTGTAATCTATTTATATGATCATGTATGATTACAGACTACAAGTTTTCAAGGTTTTCACAGCCATGGTTTCACAGGTCAACAAGAAATCTGAGTGAAACCTTTCTAATCTGTGAAAATCCATCAGATTACTAGGTTAGGTTAAAATAGGATTTACCTGCCACCTGTACATTTTGGATACAGTTGCGATTTCCAGTCTGCTGCGCACCCCCAAACACCCACAGGCTCTGGGGGCAGCTCTCTGGTACAAAACTGCAGTGTTCATACCTTGCCTCCAAACCCTCCCACTCAGCAATGTCCCAGCCATGATTGTCTGGTCCATACAAAAACAAACATGCAAAGAAAGTTATATAATATCAGTCTGATGGCTGATGATAACTTTAGCTTCTTGTCATAATTAAAAAAGATGTCCCATTAAAGCCTGTAAAACGCAAGCCTGATAACTATATTATAAAATACAGAGTTATACTGAGGTCATAATACTGTAAAAGCTGGCTCTGTGTGTGTATATATTTTTTTTACCTAGATTTATGATGTGCGAATCTGAGAAACTGCCACTGGGATTGGCTCCTCCAATAATAAGGAGTCTCCCTTTTCCTCCATCTTCAGATGGAGTGAATATACAGGTGTGACCAACACTAACACCTGGAGCACTTCCCCTGGGTCTCAAAGAATACCTATTAGCAACAGAACAATTTTAACCAAAGTCTACATCCAATGTTATACTCTTTTTAAAATCACAAGTGCACTTAAAGTACTTCAACTCACTAACCATATTCCTTCTTCGGGTTTATGTTGAGGATCAAGGATTGGGAGAAACTCCATGTCTGTCAGAGATACATTAATATAAAGATTGTTTCCTCTTATTTTGTCTCCTCAGTGATGATGCTACAATCAAAGTTATAAGATACGAATAATACACTACGAGCTGGGTTTAAAAATAATGACTAACACTGACTGACTGTACTATGAGAGCCTCTGAAAAAGCATACATACCTACATTTTCTTACGAAATGTATCCACAGTGTAAGCAATCCAAACAGGTCCCTTTTTATTGTTCTAAACACTTAGAAGAACTTCTTGTAAGCGACTGAGTTGGAAACACAATCAGCGTCCTCAGTCCGCATTTTGAGCACGAGAAGAGCTTCCTCTCCGCTAACCTGTCCTTCCGGGTGAAAAGAGGAGACTACCGTGGCTTTCCGTATATATTACGTGAAGTAATTTCCCCTTGGTCCCACTTTGTGGCGCACATACGTGAATTATGTTAATAAAGTTAAATAAAAAACTCTTAATTAGTTAACGTAAATACTTAACTACTAACCAGAATGGGGCTCTACGTTGAAATCTGTACGCATTTGTTTTACGTAGGTTACGTTATGTCATGCCTTCGTTCCAAACGTGGTTGCCATGGGATTGCCGAGGCGCATGCTCAGTTTACCAATCTCAATTAGCTACTCCTAAGTGCATATTTTATCATACGTGAAACATTAATGTTAATTCCTGGCATGGTTAACGCAGAAAAAAATATTTTAAATACAAACTGCAAATTGTTTATTTATTTATTTAACCCAAAGAGTTCTACTTCTCACTTCAAGCAAATAAGGTAGGCAGGCTATTGCTAAGAGCATTTTCAAACTTAAATACAAGTAAAAGCATAAAATGTTTAATGGTATATTTGACATAGTAATGTGGCTGTGCAGATATTCTCAGGATACCAATATGTCTTATCTGGCTGGAACATAAAAGGTCCATCTCACTTTCTATAAAGTCTAGGCATAGAGTTACTGGGAGTCATAGTAGCGTTTTTTTTAACCTAATTATTAAATCATTTCCTCCTATACGTTTAGTTTTACATCAACTTCACGAACACGGAATTGCTACATCATCATCATCATTTTCACTCAAAACGACGCTGTTTAAAGGGTCCAATGTTGCTGAGTGTCGGGTATCCAGTAAATAATTAATTATTAAGGTTAATCTTAAGTTACAAAATGAGTGCTCTGGGTTCATGTACGTGTTTGTGTGTGTGCACGCGCGCCTCAGTTCACAGTGTGTCACATTTTGTCGCCATCTGGTGGGTGATTACATTTACTGCAAAGCACTTGCTAAATGTGCTGCTGAAAGACAGAATTGTGGTTCTGTTGAATGGTTCTTTAGAATAAAGTCAACAAGTCAGATATCTACAAACTGGAGCACACCCCAAACAGGAAGTCCTGAGGATGCAAAGCAGACCCTCACCCTTCCTCCAGTGAGACCAGACTGTACCACTCTAGTGCCTGTCTCACAACCCTGTTTCCGAAAAGCTCATTGTTGTTTGGACATGAGTATGAACAAGAATAAGAAGATTAACTCTGTATACTGACATTAACTGGCAATTCTGTCAGTCAAAGCAGTAGTCGTGAAGGACAACCTCTTCCTGATGCCACTGCCTGTTTTTTCTTCATACCTGGGGGTATTGATCTTTTTTTGTATTTGCCGATTTTACTGTGTTTGAAACTTGAGATATGGATCTGTCTAAGAGGTTTTGGGGGAGTGAAACACAATTCTCCTGCAGTCATGTCTCCCACATGTGCAACTACCCAATTAAAGTCCATATTCAACATTGGAGATGTTCAGCAATTAGAGCCACAAGTGTACCAGGAAACAATGAGAATTGTGTTATCTTGCGGTGTCAACTCCACTGAAGATCTCCAGTATTTAAATTGTTACGGAGGAGGTGAAGCGGTCAGAGCTGTTTGACGTTTTGCAAAGGATTTCACTGTCTTTCAAAATAAATGACTCTTTTGACAAATCATACAGGCATGTGATAGTGACTTTGGAGGCCAGTTCAAAGATCGCTTCTCAATTTCAAGTTTCAGTTCACCTGATGGGACCTAGACAGAAAATGCAATTATGTTTTAGCAACCAGGGATTTTAAAACCTCAATAAAGAATTCTTGTTGGGATGGTACCTTAAAATTATAACTCTGGCTCTCCTGCATGATGCTGCAGTTCACAAACCAGTCTGAAGTCTTCACTATAATTAATTTTCTCTTAATTTTAATGAGCTGACATATGTGCTTTTTTAAGAGTTTGAAAGAAAGTATCAAAAGATAAAGATGGGCGATGCTCAAGTTTGGTACGACTGTGTGCATGTGAGTGTATGTGGATGTGTATGTGTAACAAGTCCCAGTGTTTATTTTTTATGGTTCTCATTTTGAGCAACAGTTTTAACTACAATTTTAAATTTCAGCAATGAATTTGATTTGACCTCTTTCACACAATTTTAACCTAAATTTAAGCTGCAGAATGCAGGATGTTTGGCCACCAATAGAAGATAAATATTGCATGATCCACTGAGTCTTGATTTCTACTGTAACATTCAGATGTTAAGGTCAGAATTTGGCATAAAGAACATGAAAGCATGGATCCATCCTGCCTTATATGAACAGTTCAGGCTGCTGGTGGTGTAATTGTGTTGGGGGATATACCAAGCCTTATTTAAATACCATTGCTGTCATCCAGGTTCATCCCCTCATGACCAAAGGTACCCATTTTCTAAGAGGTTAACATGCTGTGTCACAGAGTTTAGATCATTTCAAACTGGTTCCTTGATCATGACAATGAATTATCTGTACTCAAATGGCCTCCACAGTCACCAGATCTCAATCCAATACAGTATCCTAGAGCATCCTTTTGGATGTGATGGAATGGCAGATTTGCATCATGGATGTGCAGCTGACAAATCTGCAGCAACTGTGTGATGCAGTTATGTCGGTTTGGGTCAAAATATCTGAGGAATATTTCCACAACGTGTTGAATCCAGAAAGAGATACAAAAAATTAAGGTAGCTCTGAAGGCAAATTGAGCCCAACACTAGCAAGGTGTACCTTATGAACTGGCCAGTGAATTTATATTACCATATCTGAATTAAGCAAACAATTAAGATAAGGTGTATTTTCAGCATGGTAATATTTAACTTATTCTTTTTTTCTTTTCTTGTTTTTCCATCAGTGATGTTTCTTCTAGTATGTTCATATAGAGCAAAACATCCACAGTGCATTTCATAATTTGCTCAGTAGGTTGTGCTATTGCATTTTGTTTGCTCTAATGTTGCATGAATTCAGTGGGAACAGCATAAAAAGCAACAAAGATTCATGTTATTCCACACACATACTTTTGGACAACATTTCTAAATAGTTTAGAATAGATTAAGATAAATATAGTAAGAGTATTAAAAACATTTTCATATGCCTATATTGAGGTTTCTTTCAGTTAAAATCAATTTTTTTATTGTAGTTGCCCTGACTTAGTTTGTAGTGTTACGGTTACAATAGAAGCCACGAGAAAAAGTTAAGATAATATGGCCACTGTTAATACTTTCTTATTACCTTAATAACTGAATGAATGAATGAGCAGAAGTATGAAAGCAAGAACATTCAAAAATCTAAAAGTAGAGACTCAAACGCTTGAAAGTTTTGGTATCTAAAACTCCTCAAACATATGTGTGCCTTATACAAAGACACATTAGTCGAACCTTTCTGAACATTTATCCCACACTTAGAAAGGGTACAGCAGATATTGTCATTCAGCGTAGCCTTTTTTTAATTCACTGAAAAAGGAAGGAAAATCTTTTAAAAGGACTGCTTCTTTCAAGTTTAGGGACATAATGGGAGATTGATTATATGTCCTTCTGGGTTTGTTTGTAGCCCAGAACTATGTGTACTCTTTGAAGCCCACTTTATTGGTTATTAATCATAATCTCAAAGAGCCTCTAGTTAAAAAGAGTGTAGGCCATGTCTCTGTTGTTGGCCTTTCCTATTAATAATTAAGTAGAAAAAAAAGCCATTCAGGCACAAGGTTAGACTGCTGTGTTGCGTGTTTAATGTTAGTCCACCATACAGTTCAGTAATGTGTCTGTGAGACGGACAGCGTAAAAACATGAAAAGTGGAAAAGTGATGTAAAAAGTTATGTGAAAATCTGCAGATTTTGACAGAACAAGTACAAGAAAATGGTAACTAATCTACAAAATCATAACATACTACACTTTTCAAGTCAAGTACCAAGCTCATAAAAGCACCTGAAATGGAAAAAGGGTTCCCAGGGTTTCTAGGAAAAACAAGACCAGATGCAAGACAGGAACCTAGACTACATTTAACAGAGTATAGTCTGTGTGTAGTACTGTGAGACCTATCATCCAAACACAGTTCAGATACTGCTGCTGGCTGATGCTTATCTACACTTGGTTTTTTCAAGCAGTCTTGATCAGTGTTTATCTTCAGAATACCTGTTCAATCATAAATAAGTGAATGAGTAAAGCATTTTCATCATAATAATATTTAGATTATACTACAAATGGTTTCAAACTTGATATTTGAATTGACACTGCTTAGCCTCTCCCTTTGCAGTGAAATCACTGAACCGATCCTATTGAACATGTTTGTCATATTATTGCCTTTTTCTTTAATGGAGTTATGTGCCGAATAACAATATGGATCGCTGTGTGGTGTAGCTTATTCAAGAGTTAAACCTGCGCTCCAGTTTTGGATTATTTTAAATGCTACTTAGTGGTCCGTGGTGTGGGAGGGACTTGTGTGTGCGCTCGCACACAGCGTCAGGGGCTTACAAACTAGTCTACTCCTTGTGCCAGTCCCAAACCCAGCAAAAAAAAGGCTTAAAATCTTTTCCAAATCAGACATTTGGATCCATATGCTTTGGTGACCCCATGGAAAATAAGGGAACAATTGAAAGTACCTACTTAGCTGTAATTAGCTGGTGTGTGCTATGGATGCACCTTGCTAACTAACACATTGCTAGTGTTACCTGATAACTTAGTACCCTGTTGTTCTAATATGGTCCAAGCTTCCTGCTTGGCGAAAAATGCTCAAAATGCAAGGTCAAGTCATCACTGTGAATAGATTCTGCTTTTATATACTATTTATGGCTCTAACGATTATTATAAATGAAAGTCTACACTTTCCTCCAGACTGCAGTATCCACACAGCCAGAGTCCTCACACTGTGTTGTGGAGGGATGGATTGCACTCAGTTTGTTTGGGCATTTCCATCGGACTTGTTGGCTGTGTTGTGGGTGCATTTTAACATAAATTGTAAGTTTGTGTCTGTACTCTGTTTTAATGTTTCTGTAATTAAGCCTTTTTTTTCGCTTCACATGATGATCTTTTGTGTCATTATTGCTTTTGTTTTTTTGATAGGCTTAATAGACTGTTACTCAGTGAAACAAGTTAGAAGCCATGCTCTTCAGTCTGCCTCCAACAGGTGCTTAGCAGTCCCTGTGGCCATCTGAGGATGTAGTCTTCTCCCTTTATGATTCAACAATGATAGAATTCACCTGCAGTCAAAAAACTGCACAGTCATCTCCTGTCTTCCAGGGCAAATTGAAAATTC